TAGAAAACGTGTCATAAGTAAGGATTTTATAGCATTTCAGAATTCATCTTGTACCCTAAGCAGAATGAGCCTGCAGAACCAAAATCCACTTATGATTTTTATTTGTGATTGAATTAGAATGAGCCGTATCGAGTTTTCACTTTTTTCCATATAGCCTACAGAGTAGGTAAAAATAGGACGATTAATACATGGACTCTAATTAAAATAACATTGTTATGCATGAATGATATACGATATATGATTTTGCTATTTATTGCAACATGGGAGTGATCTATCTCGTACAACCAGAGAAAACGACCGGATTGCACTGCCATCTTTTAATAAACATTCTTTCTATTACCTGCATCCTAATATACCCTGTCCTTTAAATCATGGGCGCCTACTGTATTAAGTAAATCTGAATTATTGAACGGTAGATTCTCAAGGCTACAGATGAGGGTCATTGTATTCTTCGTATTGATCGATATAAAACATTAACAGGTACATAGCCATAATCTATCAATAGCGTACCTCTACAGAGTAAACACATTTGATGGACCAACAATGAGGATTCTATATGGATTCTATAGCTGAATGGAACTAAGTCAAGAGTGGAAATGTAGAGCGTTGCCTTCATATAACTGAATATGGCAATTGTAATCGACAGTAATTCGTTGGTGGATTTGTGGGACCTTTCAAAACAGAAGAACAGATTACATGTTGATGAGTAGCCACTTCTCATAAAGTCTCATATAGGAGTTGAAACCTCCGAAAGGTTACCGGTTAATCTTGGTACCGCGCGTTGGAAAGCTTAAAATCTAGTCTAGTACTGTTCGCTCGATATATAATGCTACAACAATAGAAGATTAATACACGGTATAAGTGAGTTAAGAAATTGAGAATGCCGAAACGCAAGGTTGTGTCTCACGCTCGGCAGCGCCTCGCTGAAAGGAAAGCGATCAGGGATGAGATGACGGGTGCCGGGAGGAGGCGAGAAGCCAATGCAAGGAAACAGGAGGCTCGGGCGGTACAGGTCCAAAAGAGAGCAGATACACAAGCGACAAAAGCCCGACAAACCGAAGCTAGGCGTGCTGCTAGGCGTGCTGCCAGACCAACAAATGTAGTTGTGCGTCCCACAAGATACGTCACTGTGACAAGAAACATACCCAGCTCAGCCCAAAGCGGTGCCTGTAACATACCAAGTTCAGCCCAAGACGGTGCTACTAACAGTGTAAATGGTTCTGGTGCATCTGTCGACAGAAGACCAGATGGACCTGTGTCGACTGACAGTACATCAGAAAAGCGTACGCATATCAAGAGGAATGCATTTCTCAGACTCTGTGTCTTCCTTCTAGTATTGTTCCTGATAGCTCTAACAGGCATAGCACTGACAACTGTAGGAGTGGTGAAAGACGACATGGCCCTTACTGTGATCGGCCCCTTGCTTCTCGTAATAGGGATAGGGACATTGGTAGCAGTTGGAATACTATTTTACTATAAGTCTCGTAAAACTGGCTTCTTTTCTCCATCCGATATAACAGAACATACCAATCCTAGTATAAGGTCTACCTCGATTGATATTAACTCCTCGCCAACCAGAACAACAGCTAAAATTTCTTTTATACCTGCTAGCAAAGATAAACCAGATAACCCTACAGCATCGGGTGGATCGGCCGATCCCTCCAAACCTCCACCGGGAGGTGAAAAACATGTTGCTGAAACAGCGTCCAATCTTGCTCCCACTGCTGAATCATCTCCACCAAACTCTAATGAACGTCAAGATGGCTTTGCTAGTGCCACTGCGCCACCTAATAATATTGCCACTGCCCCATCCAGTTCTTCGCCACCACCACCCTCATACACCACTGTGAGCGAAATGCCGGAAGGGTCTAACACGCATCAAACTCCACACGACCGAAGAGACAGTAGAGAGGATATAGATGTGACAAACTCACCTCCGTCTTATAGCGAAGCCATATCTCGTAAATCAGACGTGTGACAACGATCAAATTTGCAATGCTTGATTTTTTGGTGCACCACGTGCTCGACTTTTCAGTAATAGGGCTCCACAATAATCTATTATAGGTTCTCTAATGAATTCAACTTTCATGCATTGGAGACCCTTTGATCGGTTAATACAAATGTTGTTGCAGTGTCAGTTATAAAGGAAATAAAGTATTATATTTCTTTATATTATCAATATGTTTAGATCCATATGATGATTCTACATGTTCTATGTATGAGATCGCTTTATAATGTCCATTGAGGAGATCGCGTTCAAATTAGAGATCTAGATCGGGAGATTACTCTCACTTCTATTTTGTACTCAAATTCACAGATAAATAGAATGAGTGAAAAGTCAGAAATTAGTAGTTGTAAAAATATGTTAAACTTATAAAGCGGTTATTTAATGGGAGGGATTGATTATGAATTTTCCGAGGGAAAATATGATATTGGCCGAGCAAAATATCATAATGTTCCTTCATTTGCCAATACGCTCATCATGTCACAAGTATTTTGGGGAACCATTCCAATGTTATTTATTCATCTAGTTTTTCTAAAACAGTGAGATTAACGAAACCGTGAGATTAACGTGTTTTGATTTTGTGCACAAATTCCGTTGTTACCTCAACCACATTATTGAAAACAAGAGCTTTGCCGAGGCAATTTATGACAATGAATGTTTCCCATGTGTTGAGAATGTGATGAGCTTATTGGCAGGTGAGAAAGAATAAAAAATACGTTCACTACCTATCTTAATTTTGAAAAAGATATCGATTTTTATAATGATTTTCCTGTGTACTCCACGATAATACTAGAATACGCTTTCATATCCCTGCAAGTTATTGTGTTGATTGTTCTGAGCAATGATCGAGAGTTATTGTGTCGATTGTTCTCAGCAATGATCGAGAGTTATTGTGTCGATTGTTCTCAGCAATAATCGGGAGTTATTGTATTGATTGTTTTCAGCAATGATCGGGAATTATTGTGTTGAATGTTCTGAGCAATGATCGAGAGTTATTGTGTTGATTGTTCTCAGCAATGATCTGGAGTTATTGTGTTGATTGTTTTCAGCAATGATCGGGAATTATTGTTTTGATTGTTCTAAGCAATGATCGGGAGTTATTGTGTTGATTGTTCTCAGAAATGATCTGAGTTATTGTGGTGATTGTTCTCAGCAATGATAGTGGTTCATTGTCAGCAATGATAGTGCCTGTAGCTGATGATTGTGTAAATTGTTCCAATTTACCGATTAAGGGTGATTGTTCAAAACATGTGAATGGATTTTGTTGATTGTCTTGAGAGTTGTTGGGTGATTGTTCCTAGCAATGACTGTGATTGTGTTTCACTCTCATCCATAAGGTTAGCAATCGGAAGTTGATATTCGAAAGCCTGTCAATATTTGAATCTCAATTTTGTTCCTTAAAGATGCATTATACCATAGGTTTCTCCCCCAGACAATCAATGATGTCCTGTTGTTATTGCTCTTATATATCTCACATACCATGTGAGACAATCACCAGACAATCAATGATGTCCTGTTGTTATTGCTCATATAATATCTCACATACCATGGATATATCTTGAGAATAACTTTTCCGTATATTATTGCCGAAATATTGAAATAATCAACAGAACAACCAACCTCAAGAATTAAACACAATCGATTCCTCGGCTAGCGAGGGGAATCCCCATTGAGTCACACAATCGCTCACAAGCGCCTTGAACCAGGCAGCCAATCAGGTTCATGATAAACGAATTCAACGACCAATCAGATAACAGGAGGACTTTCCCGGTACATTCAAACTTCAGATCGAATTAATTTCTGCGAAAATAAATAGATCGGCCAGCACAATCGCAAAATTAACACTGAAGGAGGGGGATTTGGGACTTCTTCTTTGGTAAGTAGATGGGTGAATATGTGGTGAAACTCGATATGCAAAAAAGTCCAGAGGGGTCTTGATTGTGCTATCCTATGGCATAGACCCTCTATTAATAACAATAGTTCTGAAATCCATGACTTTGATAAATATTTTGATGAGGCCAAATATAAACACAGGGTTTGATAGGCGATCCAAAAGGGGACTTCTGGTTGCCAAACTTATGGAGGGCTAGAGGGTTATTGCTCCGGGCAATGATTGTGGGTAAATGTTCCCAGCATAAGGGCAATTTCACAGACAAATGCCCTAATAAGGAAAACATTGAAACCTTCGGTAACAGGGGCGTAGCCAGCTTTCAGTCAGGGGGGAGGGTGCGATCGCAAAAAAAAATTCGGTTTTCAGTCGGGGGCGGGGGTGCGATTGTGCCATAAACAAGACAATGGTCATTTATTTCAGATTACTTTTGATACGGCCCTACGTAGGGGCAGATCTAGAAACCAACTACTGGGGGGGGGGGGGGGGGGCAATTCTATTTTTACATATTCTGTTCCAATATGGGAAAATTCAATTTTTTTTTTCTGAGCTATCGGGTCAATATTTGGCTGAACATCTTCTTTGACATACCTATTTAAGGTAAATGTAAATTCAGTTCAAAGCTTCTATAAAGGGAGTCCCACTTATAGATTTTTAAGATTCACTGGTCGATGATCGTTGAATGCCCCCCCCCCCTGCACTAATTGTTGCACCTTTAATTGCTTATTTTTTAGATTCAAAGTAGTTCCAAACATTTAAAATTTTACTGTAAGCCTAGTAAAATTCAGCTTTGTGTCAACTGCTGGTGGCATTCTAAACCCCAAATATTACACAATTAGAAAAATCTTTATGGGCCCAATTTCTTTTCTGGGCCATTTTACCCCCCTCCCCCCGGCCTTAATCCGCCAAGGCTACGTGTATGGCCAGAAGCTTTCAGATCCTAAGGGCACGCATTGAACAAGGTTCAAGTTCTGATCATCCTAATTAAAAAGATGTCAGTGCGTGCAGTCAATATTGATTGAAGATCAGATTGCAGAGTGGGTCGCTTTAACCGACAAGGAATTCCCTTCAGTCTATTTTTAGAACGCGTCATTTTCCAAGGGGATTTCCCAAGATGGCTGCCACGGATTTCGATCACCACGAAAATGTTCTCGTGAAACCTCCCCGATTTCTGCAGGACACTGCCCATGTTTCTAGTTTTGAACAGTATCAGGAGTTGTACGACAAATCGGTGAACAAGCCAGATGAATTTTGGGGAGAAATATCGAAGAACTTTTTCTGGAAATCGCCACCGACTGGAGAATTTTTGAAATTCAATTTTGATGTCACAAAAGGACCAATATTTATTGAATGGATGAAAGGAGCTACAACAAACATTTGCTACAACTGCTTGGATAGAAATGTGAACAATGGTTTCGGTGATAAGGTTGCATTTTACTGGTAAGAAATAACTTGTTGATGTATAAAAATTCGAGTCGAATACACCAAGAGCTCGTTTTATAAAGTGCTCACCATAAATAAATGACACCTGGATTTTCTATCACCATTTCCAGACCATGGTGATCTGAAACTTCATAATTTCCAATAACACAGGTAGGGATCAAATTCGCCCCTTCCCGTTCATACCGCCGTTTTCCGTAGAGGTTACCGCGCCTTCGAGTAGAAATACCGCCCCTTCGAGTAGAAATCACGGACAGGTAGGTCATAGAACTGCATCTAAATCGTAATTCACAATAATTATCCGATCTGTTTATGGTCTAATAAGTTGAATCACATATTTATCTACCATTTTCACCCATGTCCCACGCCAGCTTACCTCAAGTTTCTTCATTTAAACGGGCGCACAGTCGGGAATTATCATTCGAAAATCTCTCGTGGCCAGTTGTTTTGGTAAAACTCGTGTTTGTATTAGTTCCCCAAGCTACCACATATAATTGGAATTGTGCCATGAATGTTAAAGATAATATCCTTTTGTTCGTTCATATAATATTCCATCCCATTTGACGATCAACACAATTTGACACGAAGCTCCACTGTTTCTTTGTAACAGTTCCACACCTTATTAGTAGGTGTACTGTACGTACATTGAATATTGATTCCAGAATTAGGGATAAATTAGAAACTAGATATAAATCGGAAATGTTAAGTAATTTTCTGAATTTATTGATTGTAAAAAAGTTAGTCGAATTAATTCTAAAAGATTAAATCATATTGGTTTTATCTAGAGAAGTTTATGCTAAACACTTTTAATTTAACAATTTATAATTTTTATGAATATGACATTTATTTACCAAAATAATACGTGATTAATATGAGTATAGTTTTAACAGAATTAGCCTAGCCTATCTTAATAGGGCTATTCACAATGCTATTCATATATTTCACACCTTCAAGGTAAATTGGCTGGCTATTGGATTAACTTTCCAATATAAATTTGGTTCACTGTTTTATTTCAAATAAATGCCCAGTTGGCAAAACATTCGAGAAAAGGGATGAAATTGCGAATAGTACATATGTAAGGTAATACGTGATTAATGTCGTTCAAGTACAAATGATTAATAAAAATGAGGTCACATATTGGTCAACGTTTTTGCCTACGTTCGTGATCATACTAGTGCGTGAGTATGAAGGCCATGTGTCAACTATACAATCGATAATATCCCCCTAGCTATTCCTCTAAATAAACGCGTATCCTCCTTGGAAAATTGTTTTCTCCCTCTTAATATAGGCCCATGGGCGTTTATTAAAAATTCTTTCAAATAAACGCCCTGTGCAAAATAAACGCCCGTAGGCCTATTCGCGAGAGAGAGTAAAGAATAACTTGTAGATTTGTGATCATAACCACTGGCGAATACAGAAGTTAACAAGGGGGGTGTACATTTCAAATCCAAAAACTTTGAATGCCCATTTTTGATAATTTGACCTAAAAAGGCCCACTGCAAAAATTTTGGGCACACAATTGTTTGTGGGCCCCGGTAATTTGGCTTATTAACATAAATGTGACGACGTTTTTGCACTTTAACCAACCAGGACAGCAGAGGTTTTGATTTTCGTGGCCTCTTTGTTTAAATGTTTACGACATAAAGGTGAGAAGTTCTGCTGTATTTTATTGCAATTCTTTAAAAATCGATGGGCTGCGATTTGAGAAATTCTAATCTATTTACATAGACTATGATTTGTATCGTTTGTATCGTTTTTGAAAGAACTCTAAAAACGACACAAATCACGTGTAAATAGTTCTCTGTGATCTGAACTTTGCCAATTTAACATTAATCTGAATAAAAGGAGAGTTCTACCTAACTGAAACCAAAATACGATTAAGGTGCGTAATCCAAAAACGAAAACGGCGGAATTTGACAGAAACTGTAAAGTCGAAACAATGCTGGTATAACAGGTATATATTCTTATACATTTAGCCATTTAAACAGTAAAATCAATCAAATTTTACGTTGGATGAGGTGTGAAGGAACAAAAATGACCCCAAATCCAAGAAAAACGTACTTAACTGAAATGGTGGATGTCAGGGGGTAATTTGTGTGCTGTCCTACGAGCAACCTAGACATATGTAAGTACCCTTAAAAACGTAGATGATATGAAACACATTCCTCTAACTGAATATACTATGAAGAAAGGGCTAGGTTGACTGAATTAAAAGATAGAGCCTTTGTATTCGTAAATTCTGTCGATTATCTACTCGAAGGAGCGGCAACCTGTACGGAAAACAGCGGTATGGACGCGAAGGTGCGATCTGATCCCTACCTGTGAATAATGTCTAGAAACACATCCCTTAAGTTTTGTATATTTTACATTTTGTATACTCTCAGACTCATCCACCAATGTATAGCCTCTTGAAAATTCTCTTCTTTTTAACATGGGAAATGCTCACTTCAGCAAATCCAGGTGTCATTTATTTAGGGTGAGCGCTGTAGTACGATTCAAAATTTAATTGAATACTTTGAATTTAAAAAATAAGCAATCAAATGACCATATTGCAACAGTATATGAAAAAATAGAAACATATGTACAAGATTTAACTTTTGTAAATTTCAGAAAGTTACAGCCCATTTCACTGTTTTATTGCATCAGTAAAACCATGGGCTTTCAAAGCCCATGGTAAAACCTTAAAAATAAGAAATCAAAAGATCATTATGCAATAATATATCGAAAAATATATTCCTATTGTACATGAATGACATTTGTTTATCTTGGATTACTTCTAGTTTGGTTAATAAAGTGTGTGGCCTCTTATATTTCGATGCTTCTCTGCCATAGCATTTTCAAAAAGATTAGAATGACTGAAATTCTTTAAATTACAAGAGGGCACAGGCTTATTGCACAAAAAAACTAAATATCTGAAATATACAAATGTCATTCATGTACAATATGAATATACGGCACAATGGTCTCCAGATTTCTTATTTTTGGGGTTCTTCTGATGCAATAAAATAGTGAAATGGGCTGTAGGTATAATGTGCAGCAAAGCTGTGGACTTTTGTAATTTAGAGAGTTTTAGCCACATTATTTTTTTTCGAAAATAACATGGCAGAGAAAGGAAGAAGCGGTATGTAGCATAAAATATAAGAGGCCACACATATGAAAGCCAAACTACAAAACAAATCAAAATATACAAAAGTTGGGCGTTGTATGAATGTTTTTATTTTTACATATACTTTTTCAATATGGTTCTTTGATTGCCTTTCTTTTAGATTCAAAGTACTCAATGGAATTATGAATCTGACTTTAATTGGTGTATTCGACTGGATTTTTTTATACATGCTCCATGGCCTATGGCTGGGCTCGCTTGCAATTCCTGAAGCTGAATACTCAGTATACTGCGAATTCAACTGAATTCAACTGAATTCAACTGAACTTTTAAGTCAGATAAGAGAATGTGTAGTACTGTCTAAGTGCTGGGCTAAGTAAATAAGTGTTTTTTTCAAAATGAATTGATCTAGAGTGTTTCTTCCAAAAGGTATACACCTATACACGCCTAGAATGCATAAATGAAGCAAAAGTTTTGCTACTGTAATATGGGAAAAAGTATACAAATTGGATATCTATTTTACAGGAGATCTTTCTCAACATAGACATTATTAGAGTTCATAGAATTTCAAATCACCAATATCTAGGAGTATTGACAAAAATCAACTTTTATTTTTTATTTTTGCGTAGCACTTCTTTCAACATTTCTGCTTCTTAGTTCCATGCTCTTTAACTTAAGGGAATCATCTCTAGGTTCTGGTCTTAGTAGGGCATAATAGAGGCTTAAGTTATATTTATGATTGATACAACTGATTGAGGTAAGAATTATGTGAATGGCTAGTGCCTGAATTACCCAAATGCGAGTAGGTACTTACCAGTTTCACCACCAGGTGGCTGATTCGGGTCAATTAACATGGCAGGTATATAAGAAAGTTCCCTTAAACTTGAATATTATCAATTTAAGTGGCTCAATTTTCATATAACCCTTATGTGCCTGATACTTATACTAATGAAAATATGTCCAGTAAAGCAAAATATTATCTGTCCACTAAAAGAAAATATATTTCATTTTTTGTGATTTTACAGCATGGGGTCTATGGGGAATCTCCCCGAGCTAGAAGTCACATTTTCAAAGAAAATTAATTTTTCAAAGTTGATAAACACTTTTTAAAACCACATTTCTAGATGTAATTTTACATGTAGATTTCAAATATGAAATTACTTTGACTGAATTTTGAATTTTTAATGAAGTAAATCAAGATTATTTCTACTCGCATCTGGGTTATTGTTCATGTTCTAAAATATAATATAAGCCTTTATTTTATCTTCCCAAGACCAGTACCTAGAGATGGTCTTGGCACTAGATAATTTGGCAATCTGGCCAGTGGCCCAACCAAAATAAATAAAAACAAGCACTGACATCTATTTATTTAGATATTATAGCAACCCCTTATTTCACCAAGTTTGGAAGTGCAAATCCTTTAGTTTCTTTTCAATATAAATTCCCCTCTTTAAACCTAGAGAGCTATCTACCTACATTTATATAGTAATCATTAGGACATACACCCCAGGGTGATGTTCTACACAGGCTTTACATGTACTTTTTACACGAATGCTGATTGTAGTTCAGTGATAGTGCAACAATGTCCTAGTCGTCCTTAGATTAAAACCTATTGTTAATAAGCTTTAAAACATTGCAAAGTAAATATGTAAAGTAAGCCTGGGTGCCTATAATGTAACATTGTAAGATTATTCTTGAAAACATAAATGAATAATATGTGTCAGAACTAAATAATATAGACAATCGTGTCTGAAATAGTGATAGAGGTTGAAATACAAATATTTAAGGATTCATTCATTCCTATCCATATACAAGATCATAACTGTTGGGAAAGTTTCACATTTCACCACCCCACTGTTTAGTTGAACATCTTACCTCAATTAGCAGACTAAGTAGTACCCTTTTGTAGATTTGACCACTGGGCCACTCAGGAAAACCAGTTTTTGTCCTCAAAGAGCTACCTTATATAGTTTTCAAATCGAATCAAATCTATCCTAAATCTAATTACATGTAGTATGATGTAAAAAAACAATGACACTACATTTTTACCTATAAGTATTTACTTATTGTATTTTTAGTATCAAAATGGTGAAATCATATGTTGTTGCCAGAGGGTAGCAAAGCTAGTGAATGAGCTCAGGGTCCACATACAGTATTTATTAGTTCTTCACAATGCAGGCTATAAACCTTAGCCTAAAATGATTGATTTCATGAAAGAAATGCTTCCTTGTTAAAATTGTGGCGTATCAGAGCA